GAAGACTCTTGAGAGTCCCTTGGACTGCAAGGAGATCCAACCAGTCCATCCTAAAGGAAATCAGTCCTGAATATTCATTGGAAGGACTGATGTTGAAGCTGAAACTCCAATACTTTGGCCACCTGATGCGAAGAACTGACTCATTGGAAAGACACAGATGTTGGAAAAGATTAAAGGGCGGAGGAGAAGGGGACGACAGAGGATGAGATGGCTGGATGGCATCACTGACTCAATGGTCATGAGTTTGAGTAAATTGCGGGAGTTGGCAATGGACAGAGAGGCCTGGAGTGCTGCAGTTCATGGGTTCGCAAAGAGTTGGACATGACTGAGCAACTGAACTGAACTGAACCTTGGTTTATGTTCAGTTGTTAATTATGTGGTTCTATTGAAAAACACCCTGTTTATTTATTATCTATGTATTATTGATTTACAACATTATGTTAGTTTCAGGCATACAGCAAAGTGATTCAGTTATACATACACATATATCTGGGTTTTTTTTCAGATTCTTTTCCCTTATAGATTATTAGAAAACATTCAGTATAGTTCCCTATGCTATACACTAGGTCCTTGTTGAGTTATCTATTTTATATACAATAGTTTGTATATGTTAATCCCAATCTCCTAATCTAATATATAGTGGTGATTCATTAACACTGAATTCAGGGCTAGAAGCACCATAGCTCATGCCCGAACAAAGCTTAAATAACACATATATTTTTCCCATAAGGCTTATCACCATCTTCTTGGTCTTAGGAACCCTTGACAATGCAACTCAACATCCATGACACTTGCAAACTTCTTGCTCTTCTGAGCCTTGCTACGTATTATTTCTGCTCCTCTGAGTATCATTTCCAAGTCCCCCTTCCCAACACCCTTTCTACAACTTGCAGAACCAAGCTGACACCAGGTGAACAGACCCATTTTTCAGGCTCAGATGGGGCACCACCTACTTGGGGAAGTTTTTGGTGAAAACCCAGATAGACTTGTGTTCTCCCTCACAGGTTCTTGCTGTATTAGCCCTAGAATTTTTATCACACTGGTGCTGTCATTGTTTATGGATACCCCTCCTCAAAATTACTAAAGCTCTTTGGGTGAATAGAGTATTGTTCTTTTATTAATTTTTATAACCATATTGTGTAGGACAATACCGGGCTGTTGAGAATTACTCAGTAAACATCTGATGAAAGAATCAGAAGGACTTCCCTGGTGGTCTAGTGGTTAAGAATCTGCCTTGCAATTCAGGAGACTCGGGTTCTGTCAGGAAACTACAAGCTACATGCCATGGGGCAACTAAGCCTGCACACTGCATCTAGAGAACCTGTGTACTGCAACTAGAGAAAGCCCCTATGCCACAACAAAGACCCAGTACAGTATAACCAAATTAAAAGAAAAGAGAGAGAGACTCAGGAAGGATGTCCAGTTCCAAGAGTTTAATCTGAGCTAACAGCTGTTGGGAACTTTGTCTCTCTGCAACTTTACCTCCTAATGATCAGACTTGGTCCTTTCTGAAGCTGAGCCTGCAGGAAAGGGTCCATTCGGGATGAGATGAGTGAAGACCGGGCAGGACCTGGAAGCATTCATCACTGCAAGCAGGTAAGCACAGGTAACCACTAGCATTCAGTGGAGGAGCATCCATGGCACTCACATGGTGGGCAGCCAAATTCCAGACCTCAGATGGTCAGCTGAGCTGGTGATTTGTCAGGGAGGTGTTCCCACTGGAAACAGAAGGAGATATATATGTACAACTCCACTTACTTACACAGCAGTGCTCAGACAGTTAGTTGTGTCTGACTCTTTGCGACCCCATGGACTGTAGCCTGCCAGGATCTTTTGTCCATGGAATTCTTCAGGTAAGAATACTGGAGTTGGTTGCCTCCTCCGGGGGATCTTCTCGACCAAGGGATCGAATTCACGTCTCTTAGATCTCCTGCATTGGCGGATGGATTCTTTGTCACTAGTGCCATCTGGAAAGCCCATAAAAGTGCTGAGGAATAATTTGCTTTATTAACATGACACTTCTAATATTGGGTTAATTAAATGGCTTAGACAACAAGCCATACCTAAAGATCACTGTTTTTCTAAATTTCTGTCTCCATCTTTTTATTAGTTTACCCCCTGGGCACTATATTTTAAAAGATACTGCCTATCAAACAAATGGCATTTTATTTATTTAAAAAATTTTATTGACGTATAGTTGATTTGCTATGTTAATTGCTGCTATACAACAAAGAGACTCAGTTATACATACATATATATATATACTTTCATATTCTTTTCTGTTGTGGTTTATCATAGGATATTGAATGTTTCCTTGTGCTATATAAGTAGGGCCTTATTGTTTATCCATTCTATATATAATAGTTTACATCTGCTAACCCCAAATTCCCAGTCTTTCCCTCTCCTATCCCATCTTTTGTTGGCAAACACAAGTCTGTTTTTTATATTTTTGAGTCTGTTTCTACTTCATAGATATATTCATTTGTGTCATATTTTAGATTTCAACATATGAGCTATATGGTTTCTGTCCTCTTTCTGACTTAACTTACTTAGTATGATAACCTTTAGATCCATCCATGTTGCTGCAAACAGCATTGTTTCATCCTTTTTATGGCTGAGTAATATTCCATTGTATATATGTATCACATCTTTGTCCACTTATCTTTTGATGGACATCAGGCTGTTTCCATGTCTCAGCTATTGTGAATAGCGCTCTATGAACACTGGGGTGCAAGTATCTTTTCAAATTATAGTTTTATCTGGGCATATGCCCAGGAGTGGAATTGTAGGATCATATAGCAACTCTAGTTTTAGTTTTTGGAGGAAGCTTCATGCTGTTTTCCACAGTGGCTTCATCAATTTACGTTCCCACTGATAGTGTAGGAAGGTTCATTTTTCTCCACACACTCTCCAACATTTGTTAACAAACAGCATTTTAAATAACTTCTTTCTCATCGTTATTAGAGACAAAACTGCCAGCCAAGCTCTGACCACCATGCTGCTGCTGCTAAGTCGCTTCAGTCATGTCCAACTCTTAGCAACTCCATGGACTGCAGCCCACCAGGCTCCTCTGTCCATGGGACTTTCCAGGCAAGAGTACTGAACTGGCATGTCATTGCCTTCTCTGCTAGCCACCATAGACTTGCCCTATTCCAGACAGAAGTGAACACTTGATATTTACTCTGCTTATGCTAGTTAAATATATGATTTCTACATGGATTTTACAATATTGAGATAACTTCAGCATACCCTTTACTAAGAGTTTTATAATCTTCTCTTGGGAAGCCTCAGGTCAAGAGTAACTGACATTGATGTCTCAATTCACCAGTGGCTTAATACTGACTCCCAACATAAGCCAAAGCCCCACAAGGTAAATCCGGGAGTGCCAAGGCTCTGATGTATTGGGATCATGGGCTTATGTGTCAGCCCCTCTTCCACTTCTCCTACTGTGAGCATCTTGATGATAAGGGCCTTGTTTTGCTTATCTTGGCATGCCTGGAATCTAGAACATTCTCTGTGTGTGTGTGTAAGTCGCTCAGTCATATCTGACTCTTTGTGCCCCCATGGACTATACAGTGCATGGAATTCTCCAGGCCAGAATACTGGAGTGGGTAGCCTTTCCCCTCTCCAGGGTATCTTCCCAACCCAGGGATTGAACCCAGGTCTCCACATTGCAGGTGGATTCTTTACCAGCTG